ATATACAAGTATAAACGCACTCTATGTCCATACCTCACAGTATCAGTTATTTGTGTGTTCTCTGTAAACTGGCTCTCCACACTGTAGAGCATTTCTGATGGTTTCTCAGCAGGATCATCCCATCACGGATGACTATATGCAGCATACTTCTGATGAGCATGACTTGTTCTCTTCTGCTGTCCTCTGCTACGAGTTAAAAGGTCATCAACATTTGTACCCTGTTGAAGGTGTACTTCCTTATTTTTTCCGCTGTTGTAATCCCAGACTCTGTGTGTTGAGCAAAGAAACCAGTGCGCTCTTATAGCTTTTATAGTTCTGCTTTCAGTTTTTTGGACAAGAATCTTTAACTGATTTTTATGAATAAAAGCAGTTTTTTTTGTCATTTGTATAGTACATACGTGATGTACAAATCTCTCAATTTTCTATAAGTGTAAAGCGTGAAGATTTATAGGAAGACAGAAAATTCTATTCATCTTAATTCCTTAATTTTCCAGAGTAAAATCATGGACAGAAGTTGAATCTATATCTTTAGGCCCATTAAACTGTGTGCTGTTTATGAAAATTATCATTCATTTTATGATGCGTGAGAATAAAAGCGGCCTGAGAACCGAACCTTGTGGTACACCATGTGATAAATCATGTTTCCAAAAACAGCCTTTCAGAAAGACCTTAAACTGTTTAAAACAATAAGTAGTATTTGACAGGGATCTATTGTATCAAATGCTGCACTCAGCCTAACCTGTCATACAAACCAGCACATTTTTCATGATTTTTTAAATATTTTAATAAACCATGATACACTAGCTAAAATGGAAAAGTGTAAATATTAATGACCCTCTGGAGGAGAAATATTTCAGTAACTTTGATGATTATTTTGACACTGAAAGGAAACAGATCACATCAAGAGCCATCAGAGGGGATATTTCTTTATTTTGAAATACTGATCATTACACAGTACATGTAATCACACACACACTGAGACCTCAGAGAAAAGTGTCTCAGCCCTCGACACAAGGCCTCTTTCCATGAATTTGTAGTTCATGTCTGTCTTATGATTTCTTTGGCTCGCAGACAAAGTATGTTTCTCATATACTCAGCTGACCTGAAGTGTAGTTTGATCATTTAGGCTACATTTACACCAGATTCACACTGAAATCTGACAGTTTGATCTGTTAAACTTTCCTACATCGGACTTTTAATTTAATACAGTGTGTCTGTGCTGTTTTTTGGCAATTCATTGTGAACCGGTTGTATTCCTTAATTTTTATGTCATTGTTGCCTTTCTTATTACAGTATTAGAGTTTATTAAAGTATTAGAGGAAGGCACAAACATGTTTTTTCCCCCCAATATTTCTTGACGTACTGTATCAGGTGTCAAATGTAGTCACACTTTGAAGAGACAAAGCAAGTCCAATTCTCTCCATGTAATTAAGCATGATATCGTGTTAAATGATTATGAAGTCTGTTGATGATGTTATGATGAATATACTAGGGTCTAGGAGTTTTGCCTGTTTAGACCTGTTTGATATGGCCAACATTTGAAATGTCTCAGCAGAAATACATGTTCTACTGGTGTATAAATGTCTTTCTGAACGACAGAACCCTGATTCCTCGGGTCATTCACTCTTCAGTGGTTTTGTTAGGATGATTTTGGCTGTGTAAGATGTAGTTCTATTACTACTGTTTGTTCAGATCAGTTTTTTGGGGGGGGATTTAGGTCCTTTAACACAAAAATACATACAGTGGGGCAAAAAAGTATTTAGTCAGCCACCAATTGTGCAAGTTCTCCCACTTAAAAAGATGAGAGAGGCCTGTAATTTTCATCATAGGTATACCTCAACTATGAGAGACAAAATGAGAAAAAAAATCCAGAAAATCACATTGTAGGATTTTTAAAGAATTAATTGGTAAATTCCTCGGGAAAATAAGTATTTGGTCACCTACAAACAAGCAAGATTTCTGGCTCTCACAGACCTGTAACTTCTTCTTTAAGAGGCTCCTCTGTCCTCCACTCGTTACCTGTATTAATGGCATCTGTTTGAACTCGTTATCAGTATAAAAGACATCTGTCCACAACCTCAAACAGTCACACTCCAAACTCCACCATGGCCAAGACCAAAGAGCTGTCAAAGGACACCAGAAACAAAATTGTAGACCTGCATCAGGCTGGGAAGACTGAATCTGCAATAGGTTAGCAGCTTGGTGTGAAGAAATCAACTGTGGGAGCAATTATTAGAAAATGGAAGACATACAAGACCACTGATAATCTCCCTCGATCTGGGGCTCCATGCAAGATCTCACCCCGTGGGGTCAAAATTATCACAAGAACTGTGAGCAAAAATCCCAGAACCACACGGGGGGACCTAGTGAATGACCTGCAGAGAGCTGGGACCAAAGTAACAAAGGCTACCATCAGTAACACACTGCGCTGCCAGGGACTCAAATCCTGCAGTGCCAGATGTGTCCCCCTGCTTAAGCCAGTACATGTCCAGGCCCGTCTGAAGTTTGCTAGAGAGCATTTGGATGATCCAGAAGAGGATTGGGAGAATGTCATATGGTCAGATGAAACCAAAATATAACTTTTTGGTAAAAACTCAACTTGTCGTGTTTGGAGGAGAAAGAATGCTGAGTTGCATCCAAAGAACACCATACCTACTGTGAAGCATGGGGGTGGAAACATCATGCTTTGGGGCTGTTTTTCTGCAAAGGGACCAGGACGACTGATCTGTGTAAACGAAAGAATGAATGGGGCCATGTATTGTGAGATTTTGAGTGAAAACCTCCTTCCATCAGCAAGGGCATTGAAGATGAAACGTGGCTGGGTCTTTCAGCATGACAATGATCCCAAACACACTGCCCGGGCAACGAAGGAGTGGCTTCGTAAGAAGCATTTCAAGGTCCTGGAGTGGCCTAGCCAGTCTCCAGATCTCAACCTCATAGAAAATCTTTGGAGGGAGTTGAAAATCCGTGTTGCCCAGCGACAGCCCCCAAACATTACTGCTCTAGAGGAGATCTGGATGGAGGAATGGGCCAAAATACCAGCAACCGTGTGTGAAAACCTTGTGAAGACTTACAGAAAATGTTTGACCTCTGTCATTGCCAACAAAGGGTATATTATAACAAAGTATTGAGATGAAATTTTGTTATTGACCAAATACTTGTTTTCCACCATAATTTGCAAATAAATTCTTTAAAAATCCTACAATGTGATTTTCTGGATTTTTTTTCTCATTTTGTCTCTCATAGTTGAGGTATACCTATGATGAAAATTACAGGCCTCTCTCATCTTTTTAAGTGGGAGAACTTGCACAATTGGTGGCTGACTAAATACTTTTTTTCCCCACTGTACACAGATTGATAACGAACTACAGCATAAAATGTTGGTAACACCTTACAATAAAGTTTCACCTGTTTACATTGGTTAACTACATTAGTTAGTGTGAACTAACATTGAAACATACTCTAAAGTATTTATTAATTCTAGTTATTATTAATTTCAATATTTAATACATTATTAAAATAAAAAGTAGTTTCTGTTCTTTTTAATGGACCTGACCAAACATGAACTAACACTGAACAGTTGTATTTTGATTGACTAACAACACAGATAATTACATATTGTAACGGATTTCTCATTGTTCATTCATGTTAGTTAATGCCTAAACTAATGTTAACTAATGGGTCCTTATTGTAAAGTGTTACCAAACGTTATTATAAAAATTGTATCCTATGGCTGTAGTAATTTAATTTTAAAGCAGTTTTTGATCTGTTTTTCATTTGGCTTGGTTTGTCTGTAACCTTTGGTTTGTCTAGCTGTTTGTTTATTAATATTCCTTGTGTTATTTGGTTATGAGCAGCACAGCTAGTACTTCAGTTAGTTCTCTGAATATTTCAGATTTTGATTCATGAACTGATTCACTCTGAGTAGCAGTTCAATGAATCAGGTGAGTGTGTGTGTGTGTGAGCATGCATGTGTGTGTGTGTGTGTGTGCGTGCGTGTGTGTGTGCGTGTATGCGTTTGAGTGAGAGTGCGTGCGTGTGTGTGAGCGTGTGTGTGTGTGAGTGTGAGTGCATGTGTGTGTGTGAGTGTGTGCGTGTGCATGTGCGTGTGTGTGTTTAACCAGCAGGGCAGGTGAGAGGTTGAACTCCTTTGAGCTCCAGGACTTTGTTCATCTGGACCTCCAGAGTCTTCCCAGCTTTAGTGATCTTCACATTTCTCATGCAGCCTTTAAACGGTGTGTTTATAGTGAGTCCAAACTGCTTCAGACCCTCTGCAACAAACACACACAAACAAGATTTCAGTCATTTATCTGACGCTTTCAGAAAACACTCAAACTGATCAAACTATGTGAATTTCTGTCTGCTAAGATGAGCTGAAAGAAAAATAAACAACCATTCCAGGTATACATGTTAATAAAAACTGAAACCGATAATTGTTCCTAATTTCAAGTGTGTTGAAATGTTACATTTTCCAGAACCTCTGTATTTTAGGATTGTCCCCAACTCAGACTTCTAACTTCTCTGTAATGCATTTACAAAGAGTTCAAATCAAAATAATTCAGCTTTTTCTCAAAAGCTTAAAAAATATTTTCATCATATTCATATTTTCAATGCATCATGTTTTGTTATGAGCATCCCACTGAGCTTTTCAACATGTTTCTTTTTGCTTATGATGAGATGCAGAATGATGGGTTGAAGACCAGAAATGTCATAAAATGTAAAAACGTTATGATTTATCATGATCTGACAGAAGCTTTATGTCATTATGTGTCATCATGTGTTTTTTTTTTTTATAAATTAGATTTTTAGTAAAATAATGTTTATTTATTTCTATGTTAAAGGTCACATATTGTACACTTTCCTGGAGTTTTATTTGAGGTTTTGATGTCCTTAAGAATATATAATTACGGTATAAGTACCAAAAACCATCTCAATATATTTTTACAGCTCCTCTCTCAGGAGCTCTGCTGAGAACAGGTCGAGTTTGGCCTGTCTAATTAATATTCATTAGCCTCTCTTCTGATTGGCCTGTTGTTTTCTGAGTGACACACGGCCAGGCCAACCACAGGTAACTAGGGTCAGTGACGTCACAGCGCTAGCTGGAGGCAGCAAAACAAAGAAGAAACTGGAGGCGGCCCATTCAAACCAGCGCAGATTCGGCTACATAAGGAGCTTAAAATATCATCTTGTTGTGATGTTGGGTGCCAGAATCGACGTAATACAGCCTCAAATTAGAAATGCTGCATTTGCAGCGTGCACTTATCAGAAAAGGTTCAATGAAGTATTGTCTCTTGTTGTTATGGGTGCGTTCTTGCCATATGTCTATGTTTCTTGCATCTCACGATTATGTCGTGTATGAAATAATGTCTGTGGGCATGTGTGTAAAACAACAAACTGGCGATTTCTATATAATCATTTGTAATTGTATATACATTGTTGTGATTAATTGTGGCTGGAACAATAATGTAGCTGTAAAAATATTTGCGTGCTGAAATTGAAATGTATACACATCTTCATCATGACTAGATAGACACGGTGAGTTTGTCTTTACTTTACACGTTAGATGTGATCACCTCATAGTAACAATCCTGTCAGATCGTCCATCCTTTGAGTGAGAGTGTAACGTTACAGGTCGGCCGATCTGGTTTCGTGGTTAAAGTTAACCTTTTCTACATGTTTCCGTGTTGTTGTTGTTGCTCAGCAATGGCATGGATGCGATGTTGTCTGGGGGTGTGGCTAAAGGAGAGTGGGACGGTGGGCGGTGCTCGGGTGGTGACTGAAGGCATGACTGTGTAGTTCTGACGTCAACTTTTTACGGAAGTCACAACGGTTCGTGAAAAATCACAGCTACTTTATGCAGGCTGTGTGCATTTTACTGTGGACTGACTGTTTTGAAATGTATATGGAAGTTAAATAGCCCCTAGACCTCAGTTATCGTGAAAAAAGCCATGAAATTTCAGTTTTCAGTGACTATTGCCTGTTAGCTTGTTAATAACTCCCACGAGTCATGAAGGAATGTTTGAACATTCTTAACACTGACACCATGGCAACAGAGTTTGATTGACGCACCGGGGTATCCACCCACATACACCGGGTCATTGGTATCAGCGGAGGCAGAGCGGGCGTCTAGACTCGCTGCATCGGACTTCTTGCCGTCCACGACGAGCTCCAGGCGGTGCTTCAGCTTGTGGGTGGAGACAGTGTGCCACTGTCCATCACAAAGCCCCGCCTCCGGATCCGGCTCATATACGGCTGTGAAGCGCCCAACTCCATTATCAGCATGGAATAAAAGCTACAGCAACAAACACAGACACTCTTACTGACAAACTCATATGTGACCCTGGAGCACAAAACCAGTCATAAGGGTCAATTTCTCCAAATTGAGATTTATGCATCATCTGACAGCTGCATAAATGAGCTTTATTTCCATTGATGTATGGTTTGTTATGATAGAACAATATTTGTCCGAGATACAACTATCTGAAAATCTGGAATCTGAGGGAGCAAAAAAAATCTAAATATTGAGAAAATCATCTTTAAAGTTGTTCAAATGAAGTTCTTAGCAATGCATATTACTAATCAAACATTATGTTCTGATATATTTATGGTAGGAAATTTACAAAATATCTTCATGGAACATGATCTTTACTTAATATCCTAATGATTTTTGGCATAAAAGAAAAATGTATAATTGTGACCCATACAATGTATTGTTGGCTATTGCTACAAATATCCCCCAGCGACTTAACACTGCTTTTGTGCTCCAGGCTCACATATAAAGACAAAACAACATTACAACCATATTTCCCCCCCCAATTTACTTGAGCTCTTCAGTGAAACTGAAAATGATCAAATTCACCCCTCTTTCGTACCTTTCCGTTGACAAGTTCGATTCCCAGTCCGTCCATCTTCTGGCTACTGATGCCGAACAGAACGCCGCTGCTCTGTGCCGTCCTGAACTCCAGACCCACGGACACATCGTTACCCACTCGATACGTGTCCACTGTACACACACACACACACACACATTACACTTCTATGTATGTTTAAATATTACAGTTTTTTTTCAGATGCTTACACACATTTTCAAAACTTTGCCTCTTTTTTTTTTCTTCAAAGCTTTACACACAAATCCAAAAATCGCACACACAAAATGCAAAATGCCTCGCATCTCTTGCAAAATGAAGCACTGCATTCAAAATATTACAAACACATCTCAAAAGCAAACATTTGCAAACACCTTTGCCTTAATATTAGTTCCTGTAAGAGTTTTGTGTTACATAGAGAACTGTGTGTTGTGTTTTGCAAAAAGTGTTTTATGAAATTGAAAATTCAATCAAAAGGCAGAAAATTTACATTTGGTCATTTAGCAGACGCTTTTATCCAAAGTGAGTAACAAATGAGGACAACAGAAGCAATCAAAATCAACAAAAGAGCAATGATATACAAGTGCTATAATAAGTCTCAGTTAGCTCAACGCAGTACAATATTTATACAATAAATAAAAAGAAAACAGATAGAATAGAGAAGCTAGTGTTAGAGGCCTTTTTTGCTTGTGTTAATTGTATAATAAATAAAAAGAAAAGGAATAGATAGAATACAAAAAGATTAGAGAAGCTAGTTTTTTTAAAGAATAGAATTAGAATAGAGAGTGCTAGAGTTAGAGGGGTCAAATAAAGATGGAAGAGATGTGTTTTTAGCCGATTCTTGATGATGCTTAAGGATTCAGCTGAGAATTAGTGTATGGTTTTGCAGATTTGGTGAGTGTCAGCTTTCAGAAATTGTGTGACAAGTGAAGATTTTGTGCGTAAGCAGTTAAAAAAAAATCTGTAATGCTAGCTGTAAATGACTACAATGGATCCTCACCAGCTTTAGCATAGCCGGTGCCATCAAAATAAGTTCCTTTTTCTGGGTTGGCGAAGCAGGAGCCCACACGGTAGCTAGACGCGGGTTTCTCCATGTCCAGCGGCAGATGCATCATCTTGAAGTTTCTCATGCAAGCGTCGATACTGTACAGCACCTGCAAAAGCACAGGCAGCATCAGACAGTGAAGGTGGCCTCAAAGAGCACTCGACTCTTCTGAATGTGTGTGTGCTTGTGCTCTCACCGGTCCGATGCGTTTGCTGGTGTAGTTGAGCGGTAAACCTCCCACGTACAACATTCCCACCACATCCAGAATATCAGCTTTCT